TCCACTATGTCTGCATGGTCAAAATTAATTTACCGCCAAAAATCTGTCTATGTGTTTCGAGCCTATCACGTGACATACAACAAATATTTAGCAACATCTTCAACTCTTTCTCTTAGAACTACAACAATGTAGTTCAATGAAGAGCCTGCATTTGTTCCTTATGGGAAGACGTTATGCCACATGTGCCCACATATGTACATATGAACATTGCACATCTCTTAACTCATCTCATTCACTCCAACTACAAGAACACAGAAACTTATCAACTTCTAACAGTGAGCTTCACAGCATCAAACAATTTGCCAAACAAATTCACGCCATTCAAATCTTTGAAATTTCTATGTTAGATTTCCTAACATAATCCCAAACTTCAAATTCACTCCCTCACTAACAAACTACACTTCAATTTTAACATCTATGATTTTTATCAAGACAAGAATTCTATTCAAGGAATATACAGTTTGCCAAACAAACATTTTATTCAAAAAGCAACTTTGAACATTTTTCATTGAGACTGAACTTTATTTCATGAACTGAAATCTTTTCTATGAGTTCAGATAAAAATATTTTCTCTTAAAAGGCTTTAAGAATTTCAAGTTAAAAAAGTAAATAACTCCTGCTATATTATTAATGCTACATATTAACATGCAATTTGTAACAATTTGTAACCCAGTTTAAATTACCTGAATAAATTCATTCTTCAGTTATGTATATTGTGGATAGAAAAATGTTTTATTTCTAGAAAACAGTTTTATATTTTGAATTTGATAGCCTTGTGCCATACCCAAAGTTAAATGTTTGTGGAGAAGTTTATTTTCATGCAGCCAACACAAATAATACCTACTGATATATACATATTTTGTCCTAATAACCTACTCCTCCGCAACATGTCTATTACATTTTAAATAAGAATGGCAAGTCTTGTCGTGTGGCTTTAAATATCTCTCATCTTAAATAAGGCATTTGACAAGGTTTAGCATGCTGGCCTTCTTCACAATCTTAAGGACTATGGTGTTCCTGGTCAAATATTTAATTTAATCCACTTGTTCATAACATATCATGTAATGAAAACCATATTGAATGACTATACTTCTACATTGTTTCACATTAATGTGGGGCTCCATCGTTGAACCTATATTGTTTCTTATCTTCATCAATGACTTTCCTGATGTCATTAGTTCCCAACTCGGTATTTATGCTGATGGCAACTATTTACTCTTGTCTTAATAGTAAATCCAATATGTATGAAAAAGTAAAATGAGCATCTGTTCTTGAAAATGACATCCAATCAGTTGTTAAATTGGGCAAGAAATGGCTTGTAAATTGTAACACTTCCAAAACAAAACTGCCATCTTTTAATCATCATAGAGAACCACTATTGCCTTTCATCAGCATGACTGATACTACCCCCACCAGGAGAGCAACTCATTGCATTTTCTTGGTCTCATGTTTTCCACAGCCATCTTGCACATTTATAAATCTACCATTCATCCATATATTGAATATTGTGCTGTTTCTTATTTTTCCACACACACATACACACAATAAAAATTAATTCACACCACGTGTATTAAAAAAATACAATTGCGCGGGAATTCACTCCTTATCATGCCCTGTGGGGTCAAAAACAACGATGACGCACCCAAAAGTTTGGACGTAGTGAAAAGCACACCACGTGTTCAAAAATATGATTTATTGACCAATCAGAGCTCGACATAAGAAAACCATTTCTTAATCTCCCCGGAGCCTCATCATTCTTATATAAGGAAGGTAGAAACTCTCATCAGAAGGGAGAGAGAACAGCGACAAGCTGACATCAAAGCGACATGGACAGTTTCGAGCACACACACACACAATTCAGCAGTTCACACAACAGGCAGTATCACGTATCAGTGAACATTCTTTCACCCTCTCTTTCTCTCGCTACACATAGTCCTACCTTTCCCTCTCACATTCTCAGTTCCTTTCTTTCTCTTCCGCAGCTTTACGGACAATTTCATTTTTGTACAAGAAAAAAAATAATTCTTTACAAAAATAAACAAAAGTTTATTTTACTTTATTTGTAGTGTATTTTCTTTTTATTATTTGTTTGAGGGACTCCTTTGCACCCTCTACAATATTGATACCATATCTGTTCCGAATTAGCAAATAGGTTTCATTATTTTACTGTTGAAAAAACTAAGTTATATTTTAATAGTTTTTCTCCAACTTCTCGCATTTGGAACTCTTACAGTTTCTTGTTTATCTGCCACCTACGATTTTCAAAAATTTAAATGCAACATCAATCACTAACTTCTGTCTTCCTGAATCCGGTTCTTTTATTATCCTTTCTCATCAAAGTTTTCTCATTCTTTTTCAGTAACCTCTGGCGTCTTAGTGGCATTATCGCCTTGCTTTGGGTGAATGATTAATACAAATAAAAATAATAAAAAAAACAAAACAATGATGGATGCCGAAAAAATTCAGAACAAAATATCAAAAAACAAAACATCAAGGATTATGACAAGGGAGATCATTCCTGATATCAGCAAATTTTAAAATCTTAGAGTAGCCTCCCCTATTTTCGCTTCTGACTTTAGTCTTTCTTTATTTGACTCATGAACACATTACAATCAAATGGAAATTATAGCCACATTCAGTTTACATGAAAATTGTTTTCAAAATTGAAATATTTTTGATTCAGTTTTAATTCAGTAATGTATATTTTGCGAGAGTAAAAAAAAAAAAAAAAATTATCTTTAAAGAAATATTAACAATGCAAGTCAGTTTTGAAATATATTGACACCAATATGAGAGAAATAAGTCAAATTCTTTATTTTGCTTGTGATGATATTTATTGATTTTTAATGATGAGGATATTAATTAATGAAGAACTAATAATTTTGTAACAATTTCATATTAGTTAATTACAATTACACCAATGTGCCAAAAGCTATAGAGTAGTTGCCTACTAAAATGTAGGATCCTTGTAGCCGAACAAAATGCATCAAATTTGTATAAGCAGCTGTTAACAACTCCCTGATAGACCTCTTCAATAAAATGTCTGATCAGGCTCATGTTTGGGGAACATGGTAGCTATACTATTTGATGGAAGTTTCAAAAATGCTTCTAAAACTAATTCTGGACAAGTTGGGTCTTGTTTCATGGTGCCTGGTCATGATGCAATGAACCCATTCTTACTGTGGTACACAGAGTTCATGGATAGGTGCAGTGTAGTGATTTAGACAGACCCAACTCCTAACATGTGAACACACATGGAACTACCACCAGCCTACATGTTATCTTGATTAGGTCCATGGATTCATAGGGGTTTGCAATACACCTAAATCATATAATCACACCAAAACAACTGGAATTGTGACTCACTGGCAATTGTGACTCATTGTATCCAATATGTTAATATCCAATTAGCAACATCATGATTCAAGGTGAAGAACTGCACCTGGTGGCATTATGTTTACAAGTGCACCCTAGTGGCTTTTCTGCTCCCATATTCCAAGCAAATTAAAAGAACACTGAACTGACCTGCTGGGCATGAATCTGATACATGCTTGTATTGAATATAGATGTAAGTGAAGCAAATATCACTTGTCTTTTATCACAGACAATTCTAACTAGCCATGTCTGATAATTAAGAATACATGGTTAGCTGTGGCACTGCCTGTGGTGGACATTCCATTAGGTATTCCTTGTTCATATGTTACTGTTGTGGGATGTCAAAATGTTCCCACAATTTCAGAAGTGAAATGTTCAGTCCACTTGCACCCAGCATTATACCCAGTTGCTTCGGATTTGTCATAAGCTAGTGTTCATACCAACTCACCAGGAGACAGAACTCAACTAATATAGGTTTGGACATTTCTATGATGTCAAGGTATCACAGTTCCATCTACCCTTACCTTTACATATTTCTAATCAATGACTTTTGGCAAATCAGTCTATATAGAATGGGTGACAAGCTTAATCATAGCAATAATTAAACACATTTTAATCATAGCAATAGTTAAACACATTTTAATCATAGCAATAGTTAAACACATTTTAATCATAGCAATAGTTAAACACATTAATCACCATACTGAATGAAGCAAGAGAATAATTTGACATTAAATTTGTTTTTCTTTTTACATATATGAAATATATCACAATGAAATAAAAACATTGAAATTTAAAAAAAAAACTTAGTATAAAATCAGTTTTGTAATTTTGTTTTGAGATAAACTGAATGTTGTAGTTAGAGAAAAAAAAGCAAATATTGTTACAATTTAAACCTTTGAATAAAAATTTTTTTAACATGTTTTTAATATTGAATACATTACAAAATATTTAAGTACATTGTAAGCAAATTTGAAAAATATATATAAAGTTGCAATGAAATGATTTTGAATTTAGCAAGTTAAATATTACATTTTTACAATTATTGAAAGCTAGAAGTTTAACCAAAATTTCTGACCATATCAATTTAAACTTTGATATCATAAAAATGTTTTAATATGAATTGAATGGATGTAAAATTGAAGCAAAAATTACAAAATAAAAATAACTCACTTAAAAGTATAAATGACTGAAGTGTTTATATTTTAATAAATGATAGACTGGCAGTCTGTATTTATGAAAATGAAAAAAAAAACTGATCATTAGAAATTGTGATATGAATTTAAAAAAAATAAAAAATTCTTGAATTTTCAGAAAGAGAATTTGAATCCTGAAATAATTGATGTAGCGAAATGACATTACCAAAATGTCCTTCAAAAAGGATTTAAGTTAATCTCGAAATTAATAAAAAATAAATAAGCAAAATGTTTTATAAAAGTTTTTATAACGTCAAAATATTAAAAAAAAAAAATTAAAAAATCTGCAATGGCTTGTAAGAGATTATTACAATAAATTTGTCAGTCAGTTGAAATGGCTGAAGAGGAAACGACAGTTCCCAGTTTGACTTGTAACAAGAGTGTCAATATAAACTGGAAGGAAGTAGATTGCAGTCATGTTAAAGAATTTTAATAATGAAATTGTCTTTGGAGCATCTTTGGATTCTGTTCAATAACACTAACAAGCAGATCATCAATATAAGTTTCCAATCCTCGGATGTATTGGTCCTTTCGGATTAGTTGTGCCTTCTGGTTTACTATCAAATTAACCATTTCCTAAAAGAAGAAAAAGCCATCAATGTTTGAAGTTTGAATAGTTTTAAAGTTAAAACAAATATAAATCCAATGTACAGGCAAAGTGTTTAGCACTACTTAAAGAGATTGGTCCACTTGTAAAAAAAATAGGGAAAAACTTTTCAGGCAACAATTTTTGTAGAATTAGACTTTCTCCAAACCACATTTGTCAAAATAAAAAAAAAGAATATTGATTTCTTATTGATTTAGAAGAGGGCTCTTGTTAAATTAAAAAAGTTAAAAGTTAAATACAGTCACAAATCGATTCCCGACTTTTACAGAGTTATTGGACTTAGATGTTTTTGGTGGGGTGGGATTTTTTCTGAAACACATGCACAAACATTAAGGGGTAATAATTATTTTTCTTGAATAAAGAAAAAGGGATATAGACTTAGTAATTTATGTAAATTTTTGTTCTTTAATAAAAAAAATTGTATATATCTGTTCTTTATTTAAAAGAAATATTAAAAAAAAAAAATTCTCAAAATTAAAAAAATATTGATGTTTTATTGATTGAGAAGGGGGGGGCCCTGTTCAGAATAATGATTGAGTGTAAAATCGATTCCTGACTTTTTACAGAATTATTGAACCTAACTGTTATTTACAAATGTCAAATTTAAAACTGCTTACATGTTGATATCTATAATTTTTTTTTAATTTTCTGAATTTTTTAAACTTTATTAAAAACTTTTTTTTGTGGGAGTGGGGAGAATATTCTCCAAATCACATGCACAAACATTAAGGAATGATAATTATTTATCGTGAATAAAGAATAAGGGGATATAGACATATTAATTCATGTCAATTTTTGTTCTTTAATTAAAAATGTATATATCTGTTCTTTATTTAAAAGAAATATTTTTGTAACAAAAAAAAAAAAAAAAAAAAAGAAAAACACAGAATAAGTTTTTTTTTTTTTTTATACACAGACTAGCCATATCCAAATAACTCTTTAAAAGCCAGTGATCAATTTGATACTGTATCAATATAATAAACAGGACATCTTTTCTAAAATAATAAAATATTTTTCAATTTTGACAAGTGTTGCGGCTTAAGGAAGGTCTAATGAAATTAGGTCTACAAATAAAATGAATGTCTACAAAAATTATTTCCCCAAAAATATCTTTTTTTTTCAACAAGTGGACCAGTTTATTTAAATAGTTGCAAGTATTTTAAAAGCAAGCAAAACTTAATGCATTGATTTTTAAAATATCAGTTTATTTTTAAATAGATACAAACTTAATGTTTGTATTTCCTTTCATGAAATATTTTTTTTTAAACTGGTTAAATATCTTCTATAGATATTCTTCTATAGAATGCAAAGACATTTTGCCATTTCCTTTTTGAATATGTATGAAAATAAAGTTTGAAATTAAATTAAACCATTTAGAATGATTTAATGTGCAGAATAATGTTAAAACTATGAATTTACATATAAAGTAATTTTGAGAAAGAAAAATAGTAAAATTAAAGTATTATAATATATATGGTATTATTATAATAGTAAAATTTATTTTTATTGAAAAGTGTTTACAACATTGATTCTCAAATAGAAGACATGATTCAAAAAAGAATTTCAACAGACCTGTCAACCAAAAAAGCCTTTCAAATATCACGCCACCTGTGATTATCATCAGGGGGGCGATAAGCCAAGAAAATATTAAGATATCCAAATAAATTTAAAATAAAAAGATATGCTTGATGGTAGGAAAAAGCTTAATGGATATTTAGTTAAAATTGATAGTAAAATAGTAGAGTATTATGAAAATGAATAAGATTGTTAGATTCTATTTGAGCAACAGTTAGAAATTAAGGAAATTATTATCTTACCTCTTTGTGCATGCTTCTGTATCGTCCTATTAAATCTTCTGTTGGAAAGTTGTCAGAATTATACTCAAACATTGAGTCAGAGAAATCTGGCAGCCGTCCATCAAAACTAAATGAAATTGGTCGTCTCCTTAATCCAACTATATTACGATTTTCTGTTTAGAGAAAAATAAGCTTTTTTAGACATATGAAATAAAAATGAATTGAATTAAGTTAACATGCCTTCATTTAAATTTTATTTTGTTGCTACAGCATGTTTTTTTTCATTAATAATATATTAATAATACATTTTATTGGACAAATGTTTGAATAGATTTTTTAAAAAAAAAAAAAAAAAAAAAAAAAAAAAAAACAAAAACAAAAAAAACATCTACTAGCCTGTGCACTAAAGTTTTAATAAAGAAAACATACCCTCCAGTGTTATCTCCCTCCAACAGAAGGGAGATAACCCCTAGAGACACAAGAGTTAGGTCCCCTCCGGACATCCGGAATCTTAACCAGCAGCTTGGCAGCAAAAAGGGGAATAGGAGGCCACCATGACCCGAGGGACAATCAACAACCATCCTAACATCCTATCAACACATTAGTCGATGCCTAGCAAGCATCGATAGCCTCTTGCGCAGAACATTACATTGGCGACTAGGACTGAGTCGTTATCCTCACAAAAACAGAACATCAACACTTTAAAAAAAAAAAAAAAAAATTCAACACATGTTCGATATATATCCAATATGGCCGCCGTACCACACTACCCCGAATTTGATTGTGAGTCAACAGCCAAAGCAGCAAGATGGACAAAATACGTAAAAAGACTAAAAAACTATTTTGTCGCACATAACATTGAGGATGACGAACGGCAAAAAGCAATCTTACTAACGTTTGTCGGCGAGGCTACAAATGACATCATCGACGAGATACCACAGGAGCGAGTCACACCGGAAAAAAATAAAACACATTTCGACAAGCTTGTCTCAGCAGTGCACAGCCACTTCAACCTTGAAAACGACGGAATACAACCGATTCGTGTTCCAGAAAATTAAACAAAATAGCCCAGGCATCAAGACTTCTACCAAGAAATTAAAGGAACTGCGACTATGTGCTTTTTTCCGACATGGATTCCGAGGTGAAGTCCTAATTAATTACAGGCTGCCTGTCGGAAAAAGTCCACCTGAAGGGACTCATGAACTCAGATATGTCACTACATGACAAACTACGCAAGGACAACGGAGATGATAGCATCGCACCTACAAACAATGGGACTGGAAGACAACAACATCGCTACTGCTACAACCGCCCCAATAAACAAATTCGCAGACGAACAGCGCCAACCAAGCAACTATCCCCGGCAATACCAGTGCAGGAATTGCAACGGAAAATACCCTCATGAGCAGGGATCGACGTCTTGCCCTGCATTTCATATCCAGTGCACATTAAACGACAGAAACAGACAACGGGGAAACAAATCATCCCCCACGAACACAGACCAATCGACACTCAGTGAACCGCATTGAAAACAACCAACAGAACCCACATAGCAGTGGTAGTGATACAGAATACGTGTTCCACACAGCTGGAGCTCGGAACTTGCCACCTCCAATTGAAATGGATACTCCAGCAAACAGGAGTTCATCTTTATTTTTGGGGCTTCCCAACCAAATAAAAAGGGCAACTTGATGAACAATCACAAACTCTCCACAAAATCAATTCCACAGTCCAGAAACTTGTAGCTGAAAAACGCTCTTTATAAACAAAAATTGATGACCGCCCACTCCAATATTCAAGTTATCATCTCTTTTGGATAACGAACGTCGAAAAATCCCATTTGTCTTTGGAGACACTTCATCCAAATGCAAGAAATGCTGTGCACAGAAATGAAGAGAATGTCACATGAAATAAATGAATTGAAGCTTAAATGTTGTCAACAGAATTTTCCTGCCACTCCTTCATCAACTGCTTCTAGCAGTTTCCAACAAAGCAAGAGATTGTCACAAAATGCAACATATTTGCGTCCTCAAAATGATGTTTATGAAGACGTTCTAAAGTTTTATCAAAAAGTTAAGAAACGTCCAACAACAGGTGCTTCAACAGATTTTCAAAATCCATTGTACTCTTTAAATGTCCAACAGATGTCAACAAAATGTAAGTCGGCACCTTGTCCACAACCGTCTGTGCCAGAGCCACAAGTCATGTCTCCCCTCAACTCCATCCAGAAAATGCTACACCTTAGACAGTCACGCAAGAAAATTCATAACAAAACCTCTAGAACTGATGCCAACCATTCGAAAATGTCCAACACTTCATCTGATCAAGACCTTGATTCTTCTCCAAACCAGACCATAACTATTTCTTCCACTCATAATCTCACATTGCAGGGTGATGAAGAAGATCTTCATCCTGATGATTCCAATTTTGATTTGCTTGATTCTCGCAGCTTTGGAAAGTCCGAAGATGGCTTGGAAAGTAGCTCATCCGAAGATTTGGCTTTAGAATGGTTGTAGCCGGACAAAAAAAAAAAAAAAAAAAAAAAGAAAGCATTGTAATATCCCAACAACAGAAGGGAGGAGGAGGATGTTGGATTTAACGGCATGTCAACTCCTATTTGGGTCAATTTATGCCGAAGCCTTATTAATTTATGAATTTAAGTTGGTTATTTTGTATAAAAAGATGAAAGGTTGTTGGGTTTCATAATTTTCTGTATTTTTTGGGATTGCTTTTTTTGTGACCGTTTCTGATTGTGTATTTTACTGTTTACATTCATAGATGCATATATAAGTCATATATATATATATATACACTATTTATATTTTATTGAGGATTTTTATTTCCTTGAGAAAAAACTGTATATTTTTTTCTGTGTCTGTATTTTTGAATATTTCTTTTAAATCTTTTCCATTGAGATATTTCTGTCTTATTCTAGTTATGATTTTGCATTCTGATAGAATATGTCTTATTGTGATTAGGCTTCCACATTTACATTTTGGTGGATTTGTTTTTTTTAATATGTGAGAATGAGTTAAATATGTGTGTCCTATATGTGTTCTGGTTATGACAACTTGTTTTTTCCGAGTATTTCCAAGATCATTTCCCCATTTTCCTATTTTTAGGTTTAATTTGAAATAATTTATTTCGGTTTGGTTTTTCCATAGATTTTGCCATTTGTTTCTTATGTATTTATATATTTTAGATTTTAAGTCTGTATATGGAATTTGAAGATTTTCGTCAATTGTCATTTTTAAAGATGATTTAGCAGCATTATCTGCCTTATCTCCTCCTTGGATGCCAACATGGCTAGGAATCCAGCAGAAGATGATATTTGCTTTTTTTTCCATTGAATGTAGTTTATATAGAAGACTTTGTATTAATGGATTTTCCAGTCTTTTCCCTTTTAGGGAGGTTAATACGATAATGAATCTGAGAAAATAATATAGTTTTCTCCTTTGTTTTTGATATGAAATTTAGTGCTAGTTTTATTGTGTAGGCTTCTGCACTGAAAATTGATGCTTCATTTGGCAAGCGTTTTTTTGATAATTGTTTCTTTTGTTATTGCTGCGCTGCCTGTTTTTTTTTCTTCGTCTTTTGATCCATCTGTGTAAATACTTTCATAGTTTTGATATTTTTCTTTTATTTTGAGAATTTTTCAAATGTATGTTGTGGGGTGTGTTTTTTGATTTTGATAATTTGTTTAAACTTAATATTATGTTTGGATTTTTGATTATCCATGGTGGTATGTTTGATTGGTTGGTTTTAAGTATTTGATTAGACGGTAAATTATTTTCTTGGATGATTCCTTCCATCCGAGTCCCAATGTTTTGATTTTATTTGTGTTAAGATTAAATTTCTCTTTGTGATTTGGTGTAATTACACAATCGTGTGTGGGGTTAGAAGGACAGGAAGAGAGTTTTAGATAGTATTGAGTAGCTAGTTTCTCCATTCTTAGTTGTAATGGGGGTTCGTTTGCCTCTACATGTAGACTCTCTATAGGTGAGGTGGGATAGGCTCCTAGAGCTATCCGAAGGCCTTTATGATGTATTGTGTTTATTGTTTTTAGATAAGATTTTCTAGTTGATTGGTAGACCATGCTGCCATAGTCCAGTTTGGAGCGGATCAACGTTCTATAAAAGCTTAAGAAGGGTTTCTTTGCTAGCTCCCCATTCTGTATGGGCTACTGTTCGCAGTAGTTGGAGAGCTTTAAAACATTTTGTTCTTAGGTAATTGATATGTGGTCTGAAGGTCAGTTTGCTGTCAAAGATCATTCCTAGAAATTTATATTGCTGAACTACTGGTATTTCTTCATTTCCTAGTTTTAGAGTTGGGTTATTGTGTAATTTTTTTCATTTGGCAGAAGTGTACAGATTTTGTCTTCGTTTTGATATTTTAAAACCGTTTTCGAGTGTCCATTTGTTTATTTGATGTAAACATTGTTGAAGTTGTCTTTCTGCTGTGTTGAGGTTTCTTGATCTGTAATATATTGTAAAATCATCAACATAAAGGCTACAGTGTATTCCTGATTTGATGTTTTTATTATGTCATTTATTTTTATTTTGAAAAGTGTAGGGAGAGTACACTTCCCTGTGGTACTCCCTCTTCTTGCTTTTGATAATCAGAACGTGTAGTATTTATTTGTACTTGGAAGAGTCTATCTGTTAAAAAATCCTTTTACGAAGTTTGGTAGTCGACCTCTTAATCCTAATTTATGCAGATCTTTCATTATACCATGTTTCCAGGTTTGATCAAATGCTTTTTCTATATCAAAAAATATGGCTATTAGATGTTGTTTGTTTAAATTGGCCTCTCTTATGGCTGTTTCTAGTCTTATTATGTGATCTATTGTACTTCTTCCTTTATTATATCCACATTGATATTCTGATATGTGTTTTCCTTCTTCTAGAAACCAACTCAATCTGGCGTTGACCATTCGCTCCATTGTCTTACATAGACAGCTTGTTAATGCTATTGGTCGGTAACTTTGTGGGTTGTTTCCCTCTTTTCCTTCTTTGAGTATGGGAATAATTACAGATTCTCTCCATATTTTGGGAAATTTCCCAGTAGTCCAAATATTGTTAAAAATATTCAAAAGGTATTTCAGCGATTCTTGTGGTAGTTGTTTAATAAATTCATAGTGGATTTGGTCTGGGGCCTACTGCTGTATTATGGGATTTTTTTATGGCTTCTATTAGTTCCGCTTCAGTGAATAGGTTGTTGTAGGCTTCTGTATTTTTTAGATGAAAAAATTTAGTTGGTTATTTATATCTTTTTTGTTTACACTTTTTGTAGGTTTTGATTTTGCTCATTTTAGAGTTTTCTGCAAATGTCTCTGCTAGTAGGTTTGCTATCTCTTTTTGCTAGTTGCTTTAGTGTTGTCCTTTTAAGATGTATTATTGGGTGTATTTGATCTTTTTCAGCTATTTTCCTCATCATTTCCCATATTGTCTTGGTTTTAGAATGTGTATTTAGGCTGTTTACATATTTTTTCCAACATTCCCTTTTGGCTTCTTTTACAGTTTTCCGTGCTACTGCTTTGAGTTTCTTCATTTCAATCAAATTTTGGGTTGTGGGTTCCTTCTTGAATTTTTTAATGCTGCTTCCTGGTTTCTGACTGCTTTTTTGGCAGTTTTTGTCAAACCAGGGTTTTTTTTTTATAATTATTTTGCTTTTTTGGTATATTTTCTGAGGCAATGGTTATTAATGTTTTGGTAAAGTATTCTACCGAGTTGTCTGTGTCCTTTGACTGTATCAGTACTTGCAACAGAAGGGAGATAACCCCTAGAGACACAAGAGTTAGGTCCCCTCCGGACATCCGGAATCTTAATCAGCAGCTTGGCAGCAAAAAGGAGAATAGGAGGACACCATGACCCGAGGGACAATCAACAACCATCCTAACATCCTATCAACGCATTAGTCGATGCCTAGCAAGCATCGATAGCCTCTTGCGCAGAACATTACATACAGCAGAGTGTGAACTTGTGTCTCCCTTCATAGCAGAAACTACCATCTGATCTGGCATGCTTCATACTTCTTGGCTACAGAGAGCTTCACAGCCCAGCAAAGTTCAATGACCCCTTTTAAGGAATTCATATCTTCATTTGGATCTTTTCAAAAGCCCATATATATATATATCTCAATGTTATTCAACCAAAACATGTTTGAAAAATATATATATATATATATATTTTTTTTTTTCTTTTTTTCAAACATGTTTGGTTGAATAACATTGACAAGTTTTATCAATTTTTTTATTAAAATTTTTCAAATTTCTGAAGTAGTTGTTTTATGTTATTGGTAAATTTGCCAAAGTTCATATTGATTTTATATTATTCCCCTCTCCCAAGTACTTTCAAAATTTGCTACAGTCATTTTCAAGGATTTTGTTTGTGTATGTTTACTCAACTGTTTTTATGTGTGTTTACACAACCAATTTCAAGTCACTGAAGGTGATGTTTAAACCGTCAAACTAGAATTTTTTTTTTTTTTTTTTAAAAAAAACACTTCAGTATGTGAATTTGTCAATATTATCCAACTAAACATGTTTGAAAAAATTATTGCTGTTGAAATACACACATATTATATATTATACATACTTGAATGTTTATATATGCCAACTATTTTTGTATCTGAAATGTGAATTATACCTTTGAACCTGAGCAACTGGTATATTGACTGCAGTGTGAAAGTGCATATACTGTATTCATCATGGGGTCAGGGTTCAAAAGATAATGTGTTTTGATATTTGAATTTCTGTGATTCAGAGTTTACATTATTTACATGTGGATGTTTGTCGTTATATTTTGGCCATTATGCCTTCTGGCTGTTATCAAGTGTATATCAATCATGCATATGTATTTTAACTAGTATACTACAAAAGGTTGACAGAGAAAATAGTGGGTGAGTAAGGACTTGAGTAAACCACTCTCATAAATACTTTACCTGTCAGGTAGTAAAAAGCTGTTACCTTCATACTCAACATTGTCAGAGGTCAATCAAAATAGGTGAGTAAGTACTTAAGGAAACAACTCTCTCATAAGTATCTTACCTAATTAGAGAGTAGCAACAAAAAGCTGTTACCCTTATAGTCAACCTTGTCGGAGGTCAATCACGATAATAGGTGAGTAAGCACTTAGGAAAAATCACTCTCTCACAACTACCTTACCTAATTAGACAATAGCTGCAAAAATGTCCATCAGAAGTCAATAAGTTCAATCTGCAATAAAATAATGCAAACATATTTAAGAAGTGGAAGAAAGAGGCTCAACAAACTTACGTGGTCGTTTCAAACCAAAATCAAGCTCAGCTCTTGATTTACGTCCTTGGATTCCATTTGTGACCTTTTCATCAGCAAGATCCTTGGGGTTTGTGTTGGATCCAGCCAGTCCATTACAGCTGCCAGATCTTTGGGACAAATTTGCTGGAAACCGTGAATACTGAAGAGGGATTTTGAAATTAAAATCATCACTATGGATTCCATTGGGCTTACCACCTGCTTCATCATTAGATTTTCTGTGGCCAGTACCATTTTCCTCAGCTTCTGATTCTGAATCTGCATCCTGGTCATAGCTGTATGGACTGTGCTTGCGTAAACGGCGTTGTTTTCGTTTTGTTTTGTGCTGAGCTGTTGATTCTTTTGAGGGATCATTTGCAGCATAGGTATCTAACGGATGAGAACCATTAGTGTTTGTCACACTTGTAACAATGCAAGAGGAGGGACGTAATTTCAGCTGTGAAGAAGGGTCTTTGTGAGTGCCATGTGAAGTAGTGGTATTTGAAACACTAGTTTCCAGAGGGTGGACAGATGAATTACTGTTGCCACCAATAATGCACGAAGAAGGACGGGATTTTAAGCAAGAGGGAGCAGGCCCACTAGATTGAGGCATACTTGGTCTTCGGTTTTCCTTATGTTCTGGAACTGATTGAAGGTATGTATCTAAGGTATTGGCTGGAGTCACAGATTTATCTGGCTTTGGTAGAGTGTATGACTTGCCATTGTAATGGTCTTTGCATGACAATGTGAGGTTTTCAAGAGATTTGTGTAAGACCTTCTGGTTTTCTGTGAAAAAAATAAATAAATTTAAGATTACAAACATTTTTTATCTTTAAATAGAATTTAATTAATTCAAAACAATTAAAACATCAAAACTCTAAATTTAAACTTCTCTGATAAAAAAAAAAAAAAAAAAAAAAGATGTCAAATGTTTTCTTCAACAATTTTAAAAATTTCAAGTTACTTTAATTCTCATATTTACTGACAAATTATTTCACTACTATGGTTGGGACACCCTTGTGAGGAATGGGAGCTTATTTTGATCCCAAGTATTTCTGCTTTTATGTTGGTTTTTAAAGTTGGATTTTCTGGGTGGTACTCACTAGTTAAGGTACAGAGACCCATTGTTGAGTCTTCTGAGTGATATTTACCAGTTAAGGCAGAGAAACTTATTTTTTGCTGCTATTTCAGAGGAAAGAGACAAAGAGGAACTGATAGTTCTTTTTATACATTTGGATTAAAAAAGAACTAATTAAGACAGTTAAATTGTTCTGATGAATTAATCCAGTAAAAATAGTTCATGAGGATTGAACCCAAACTGAGCTCAGAGTTCCCCCAGATAGTTTGAGTATAAACTGAACTCACTCCACCCACTCTGATGACTACTTATATGCACTGGGAAAATTTGGAAGGGAACACTTGCCTAATGTCTGGACTTTGATAAAACTAACCTGAGATAAACCAAAAGATTAGTATAGGAAATTTTAGCATATATTTTGCAGTGAAAAAAACATTGATTTGCAAATTCTTACAAAATCAAGTAATTGTCAGATTTTAATGAAACATTAAATAAATGAATAAAATTATTTTAGAAATGTTTCTTTTTTTTTCTTTTTTAGAAAATCTTAGTAAAAACATTTTTAAAAATTTTCTTACATCCATTACCTTTGACTTTAATTTTATGAAATTTTGAGAAATTAATTTTTGTACCGTTTAATGTTTTATATTAGTTATCTGCAAAACTCCTTGGAGAATCTAAATCATCAATTTTTCTTTTGTTACTGAAAATTTGCTCTGAATCATAAAATAAAAAATGCAATAAAACTGACATTATTTAATTAGAAAAGATTTTAATTGCTTTTATGAATAAGATTCATGATGGACAGTATTGTCTTAAGAAAAATTTTTTTCTTATGAGTAATGAATTTTTCCAAGAATTGTTTTTATTTTTAAAATTTAGAATAATTTATAGAGTTTTAAATTTTTTAAATTTATGTATTAATTTGTACTGATTAGGTGATATTGTTATTAAGTAAAAACTATATTTACTAATCATAAATGGAAAAGTTGATTACGATTTATTGACCCCTAATATTTTAAAAAGAATTTTGAATTTTTTGTATGTGTGTAAATGTGTCATTTTTTGTAGATATGGATCTTCACACACAACATTACCAGAAATTAAGAGTGATAACTATAGTAAATTTAAAGCCAAAGTATCTAAAATTCAATAAATCATGAAAATATTTTCTTAAATTATTAAGATTACTGGGTAGTAAAAAATTATATAAAAAAGGTACTCATGTTATATTCCTCAAGTAATTTTTAAAGATATATCTACTGTAGAAAAAAAAAAAAAAGAATCTTCTGTCTGTCTATACCTTAAATAAACAACTCAGTGCTAAAAAATGCATTTCTGTAATTTCAGATGAGATTAATTAAACTCAGCTAATATTCTTCAAATAAAGTTGCAGAAAAGTATATTTTATCTTTGAAAGATTTTTTTAATAAAGATAATTACAGTGTGCTGACAGATGGCACTAAAATCAGCGATTTTTAGCAATTTAAAAAACAAAAAAAACTCCTTCCTGTCAATTTAAGTTATTTTTGAAATACAGCAAAATATTTTACTTGTTAAAAATATTAAATTTAATCTACAAGCTTGAAATTAAAAATAAAATAAAAGCTTCAAGAAAGGTTTTTCATCTTAAATAATTCATTTTAAACTGCAGGTATTGAATTTCTGTGGAGGTACGTAATTTATAGCATTTATCTGGGTGGTAGAGAAAAACTGCAAGACAGCATTTTTCTCTTTGGATTTCTTTTAATTAAAAACATCCATTGCATAAGTTGGAGCTAATAATAATAATAATAATGTCAAAATTTGATGTATGGATTATATTTGGTAGGTATTTTAATCTCAAACTAATAAAGTTTTGTTGACACAATTAAATCAATTAATGTATACACATTCAGAGACAATGAATAGAGACTGATGAGAACTTGTCACCATTAGTACATTTAATGTTTTAGGTTTTTTTTTTGTTTTTTTTTATATCAAACTTATCCCTTTTCTGATTTACTTTCTTCTACAAACATCCTTTAAAATATAATCTGAGTAGAGTTCAAAGTTTGTTATTGCACAATGACTTTTTAAGATATTATTCTCTATATTAATTGTTTTATGATTGTTCAATTACAAACACACACACACATGATTAATACAAATATAAAATTTGTCACTTAGCTGATTGAGGTTATATTCAGTACCCTGACTCCAGAGTTTCAAAGAAACCTTTTTTGCAATCATTTGGTCCATTTGTCAAAGTTTCAGAACAGATTTTTTATTTTTAGGCAAAGAGAAAACCGTTGAACTCCATATTATTGAAAGATAATGCTTTTAAGGCAAACAGGTTTTTTCTAAGTATTAGATATTAAGAAATAGAGCCTTAATTTTAAATAAATTGAAATAAAATTTATAATATATATATATATATATATATATGAAGAATGGTGGAGTAATGGATTATGTCTCAGATTGAAGAGTCAGAGATCCAAGCACAAATTTTAGTCAAGTTTATTACATTCACTTAAATGCTAATACCATTGGAAATGGGTATAAATCCATCTCTTCTCTTCCCAGCTATGGGTAAATAGCAAGACAGACTGGGTTTTATAGCCTTGGGTGACAACTGTTACAGGAGAAGAAAAACTCTGAATTCAAACCAGCCTGGAAAGGGATGGGATCCATCAAGCTGTCTTGCCCAAGACACACCACTTCTAATGTGGCTGCAGTACATCTGGTGCCCCTACAACTAATGATTTATGAGATTTGTGACAGATTGTATATGTGAAAAATATATAGAAAATAGGAAAGAACTCGTTAGGTAAATAATCCAAAGTTCTTTAGTATTTTTGTTATTTTTAAAAAATAGTGCTCAATACAAAAGTAGAGCATAAATATAATTATTTATTTAAAAATATGATTCCAACACACTATCTATATATATATATATATATATATATATATATATATATGTGTGTTATGGTAATTTACCCACACATACATGGACTCTCCCAGCTATAAATAGCAGCATTATTATTTATGAATATTTATTTATCATTTGATAAAAAAGAAAATCGCCTGAGGCAACTGTAAAGTTGAAACCAAGATAGCAAATTCAACTAACCTGATTTTAAAGTTTGATTTTATATATATATATATATATATATATATATATATATATATATATATATATATACACACACACACTATACAAAAAATTGCATATTTTTTATAACTTTCAGAATGATCTTTTTCCAGCCCTTTTCTGGTTAACAATGTTTAATAAAACTGTTTTGAAAATTACTAATACCATTATAAATAAATCCATTATACATAATGCAAAGTATCAGATATCGTTATATGTCCAGCTATTTTATTAGAAGTGAAAATAAATATCAGTATGACTTTTGTTATACATAATGAAATAATACAAATATCATTGTTAGAATCTAATTTTCTGTACTAATCTCATCTATAAGCTTAAGTTTCTGAAAATTAGTAAAAAAAACAAAAAAAAAAACAAACTAAAAACAATAGTGAGATATAAAACAATAGACAAGCTATTAAATGCATATACCTTTCATATGATTATAGCCATTTTCTTTTCAAGAGAATTTTAAAGAATGTCTTTCTTATAACTTCAGATAAGTCATCTTGGAGTATATCAACCATGATTGATAAAAATTATACAAAAATATTTGTTGACCAAACAAAATTGTTGTTAGTAAATAAAAGAACAATGATCATTTTCTAAGAGAATTGAGAAGTTCTTACCTGTTTGCACTTCATCTATTGTAGCATAGGAAGACTTTAAGAACTTTTCATTCAAAGTCATTGTTTTTAATTTCTCATCTTGACAGTGATACAACTTAGATTCCTGTACAAAGATAAAATCAGATTAAAAAAGATATTTTCCTAAATCACAAGTGATCTGCTTTTTTCCTTTATAAAACTGTTTTAATAAGAATTGAGATGGTTTACTTTTGGAGAAACAAATATTATAATGTTTACATGTAATTTACATTAAAAAAAACCCCCAAAAACCCAAAACAAAAAAACTTATCTTTTTGTTTCCAGTACCAAATCAATTACCTATTTTAAATCTATATTGAAAGGAGTATCACTAGAAAGAGTATCCAGGGTTGTCCAAATTTAAAAGGTGTTGTGGGGACCTACCTACAAATGGACTCTTCCACACCTATATAATATGGCTACCAACTCTGAGTAGAAGAAGACCAAGTGAGAGTCACCGAATCAGGACAACAGTGAGAGAAAAAACTCTCCAGTCAACCTTTACCTTTGTACTACGTTTCCGTGAACATACTATTTAACCTTATATCCGAGTCCATGTTATCTTTCTATGGTTCTACACCATAACAATAGGGTTTCCATCTTTAAGGTGTTACTTAAGCATCTGAATATTTTCAATGACAAATTGTTGGAGCTAAAAAATAATTTTTTTTTTTTTTTTTTATTTAATTAAAACTTAATAAATCATTTCACCTGAGTATAAAAGAAAGAACAGTAATAGCTGAATTTTTCAAACTGATTTCTGATTATGAAAATGAATTGTTATTTTATCCTATTTTAAATATAATAACATTTCCTCTCATGACAATTTGTTAAAATTACAGACTTTAAAAATTTTTGATTTATTTTCCTGAAACAAGCTACTGACAACTTTAGATGTGTAAATTCATAAATAAATTCCTTGGTTTTGTTAAAATTTACCTGTGTTTCCTAGTCATTATCAACCTTCATTAATCTTCTTGGCATGGGTAAATCAATTGTTTATTTTAACCCTGAAGCCCATGCCACTATAAGAGAAGCCTTTTATTAATAAATACATTATTTTCTAATTTACTAAACTGTTTTCATTTCTATTTCCTTGGCTTAAACTGAACTTGTAATATCAACATTTTTGATCAACTGTTTGTACGACATACATTTGAACAAGATGGGCACAAAAATGATGTTCCCTCAACAAAATACAAGCTAACAAGCATTTCAAAGGATTTAACTCACAATAGAAAATATTACAGATTAGATGAAAGGAACCGACACTGATCCATTAATCTTTTATTCAATTAAACAAGATTTTGTAATACTACCCACTAACTATAATAGTTACATGTGTGTTGTACTCTGATGGAACTCAATTTCTTTAACTTGTTCCAGGAATCACCACTTTTGTTGAAAGACATTTTTTCAGTAAATATTTAATGGCTCCCAGTACATTTTTATGCAAACAATATTGGCGGACACATGTGAATCCCAGCAAAATTAAGGATTTTAAACAAGTATTAATAAATATATTAAACAGACATGTGAAACAAAGGTAAATGAGAAATGAAGTTGAAGTATGATGAGTTCGAAGCAACCTTCAGCATGCCGCAAAATAAGAGAATGTCTTGTTGCTTCCAAAGTCAAAAAGGAAAGAGGGAGAAGCTTTCAAATCTTGCACCACCTGTGATTATCGTCAGGAGCCAGTAATCCAAGAAACGACGGATTTCACAACAGGCAAATTAACTGAACACAAAACTACATAACTACTTAGGACGTTATCAGTAAGACCAAAGTTCTTCCATCAACAGCAATGCCTTTAGCCAGTGATGAAACCAGTGGCAGCAGCTGATACTAACCCTTGACTATTACAATGTGATAATCCATGGAATATTTCTTTCACTCAACTACAAATGTGTGTTGATTTTCTCTTTGTTTATTTTGAGTACTACCTTGTGTTACCTCCTGTAATAAACTCAATCTCCCATGACTGATATATGATACCCAGGAACAAGCAAACATTTGAACCTTGAAAATCACAAGGAAATAAAAACTTATCTCCACCACGTCTCACCATTTATTTTGTCACTTCCACTTTATTTCTTGTTAACACTAAGGCTGCCATTACAAGTGTACATAAATTTCATACACTAAATGTCAAAACTGTTATAGGACAGAGATACTAACATTTTTAGCAGTTCTACTGCCTAAGTAACCTTTTTGTTGACTTCAAATGACTTAGACATTAGAGAAGTTGTTTTTATTGTTTAAATATTCAGTACTAAATCTGATTGACCTGGAAAGTAATTTGCTGCACTCTTTGGTATCTGGGGACATCCGAGAGCTCTGGATCAAAATATACATTGTATTTGTAAAATGTTACTGATGTGATTTGTGAAGTGTTTAGGACAAATGCATCAAAAGAGATTTTGGTCAATATGTTGGAGAACCTGATTGGTTAGATTTAACCCAAGATGTTCAACAGTGTATTATCTGCATTAACTGCAAAAAAATAGGATAGTCTTAACCAGAGAAATATATAAGAGCCATTCAGGACTTATTGTAAACACCATCCAGAATAGCAATTTCTCCATCAAACCAGTTCAACTTCTGATGGAATTTAAAGAAAGAACAATGAACTAAAATTAGCATTTCTTTGAAGATCAAAAAGTAAAATCTTTCTATTGGCAGCTCAAAAATCATTAAGATGCTTTGGATCATTAGTATCAGCTATATATTAAACATTCACTTCTCTATAACTAAAAACTGATGTACAAGTTTACATTAACATTTAGCACTCTGCATTATTAATATTACTTCCCTTTCCATTGCATTCTCTTTCAATGTCTCTCAGTTGCAGTATCCTTAATGTTAATTTCACTCAAAGTTGTTTTTTGTTGCCATAGAAGGATATGACAACACAACTATGAAATTCAAACACTATTGTTCAGGGATCAGAGTCTCCTTCAGTGCCAGGATAAGCTTTTTGCACAGCAAATGAAGTCACAGAGTGATAAAGGTTAACATTTATATGAATATGGATTTATATGAAATCTTTCTTTGACATGATTTTCAATGCCTTTATGATCAACAGGGAAATAAAAACTTATCTCAACCATGTCTCTTTTAAATTGTGGGGGGGGGAGTTTGGCAACTGGAATCATTGTTAAAAATCTGGAGGAAGATGCTGGCTTAAAAATGAAATTGAAACTTATCTATAATTTAACAAATTTTAACAACACTTTTTTATATTGCTCTGAGTCACATTTGAAATTGTGTTGATAAAAAGGTTATTTCAATGCTTTTAAAACAATTCATGATCAATAAAAACCTTTAGAAATTTAAGCAGTAGTTAACCCATTGTACACAGCTTTCATGTTAAAAATAAATTACAAAATAAATTTAAATAGAAACAAATTTAATGTCTTAAGAGATCATGTTAGAACAAAGCAGAAGAGAAAACAAAAATGAAATTATTACTGTAAGTGAATAGCAAGAAACTTTTAGTAATATTAGTAATAATTTGTTAATTGTGTTTTGAGTAAGCAAATCACTTGTTAATGTTAAGTATAACTTGAGTTAGAAATAGCATTACAACAGATCAAAAAATGAAATTAATAAAGACTATAACTGAAGATAATTTTATGATCAGAAACAAAGATTTATACATAATGAGGATCAATAAAGAATCTGATATAAAAAAAAGAAAAGATAATACAATTAGTATCACTGATGATGTGTGTCAATCATCTGAGAGAAGTATTTCACACACACACACATATATATATATATATATATATATATATATATATATATATTATTAGACAGGAAAAGAAAAATAGTACCTGTAAAAATGTTAGCACAAGTCTTCTTAATGACCATTAGAGTTTGATTGTCAATTGGCCTTATACCATGCCAAGCTCAAAAGATATCAATAAAAATTAAGAGAAATACATGAACTTGGGAAACATGGATAAATGTGCCCACAAAAACAAAATGGAGTGTCAAAAGGACAACTTTTCAATTGACCCTTATTTTAATGACCTTCACTCTTCAGTAATGTTTGTTTCAAAAAGTGATAATTAGAATTGTAATGAAACCTAAACATATTAAAGTGAATTTATACATTTTATTGTTCTTGAGAATTTACAACAATATTAAAACACTATTAGATTTATTTGCAAAAATAATTTTATATTTACATTCTAAAACCTAATACAATTAAAACTAATATTTATCATTTACAAATTTATGAAGAAATAATGATGGAAACAATTTTTATTTATAAATGTATAAACATTTACTCCATTATTAAAATGTGAACTAACTATAAGTAAATCCTAATTTACCATTTTATAAAGTTTTAATCAATTGGTAATTAGCTTTTGTTTGCCAACCATTCCAATAAACATAATAAATAGTGTAAATAAGCAATCTAATAAATAGTGTTTATTATTTTTGTTGTCAATTCTCAAGAACAAAAAAAAAATGTATAAATTCACTTACATATGCTTAAGTTTTATTATAATTCTAATCATCACTTTAAAACAATAAACATTGATGATGAGTGAAGGTAGTTAAAATAATAGAAGTGTCAATGGAAAAACTGCTATTTGACACTGTTTTTTTACAGGCATGAAGGTCCACATTTGCCATAAACTTAATACATTGTCAGAAAATAAAACCTCAACACCATAAATACAGATACAGATCTTTTACCTTGGCAGAGAATATGTACTGTGTCTTTTTATAGAATTCATGTGGGGGATTTTAAATGTTTTTAGATTAAAAGTGAAAAATGGAGGAAAATTAAATGCATTTTTGTTATATGATGCTCGTTCCTGGAAAGATAAAAAATGCTTCACAAACTGTAAAAAGATATGTGCCATTCATGAAGATGGTGCCAATGTTCAGAGTATTGTCCTGAAGTGGTTCACTAAGTTCAGGAGTGGAAACTTTGATCTGGAAAACCAAGTACATTCTAGCAGTCTTTGATGATGGTTAGATTGAAATGCTGATTAAAATAATCCAGGTCACATGACACAGGACATCACAGAGATACTTTGTATATCCCACATGAGCAATAAAAACATGAAAATACTTGGATACATGAATTGCTACAATATTTGGGTGCTGCAGGATATAATGGAAAAAAATTAGTATGTTGCATTTCCACCTACAATTCTTTGCATAACAAAAATAACTCATTTTTGAAAAGAATAATCACAAGCAATGAAAAATGGATTATTTACAACAATGTGGAGCAAAAAATGTCCCACGGAAAATAAAATGAGCCATAACTAATCACTCCAAAAATTGGTCTACATCCAAAGATGGTGGGATTGGAAGGGTATTGCACATGATAACTCCTCCTGCAAATCAGACAATGAATTCAGACAAATACTATTCTCTTTTGGGCTGATTAAAGGTAGCAATCAATGAAAATTGTCCAGAATCAGCCAACCAGAAGGATGTTTGTATTCACTATTTCTCTAGTAGTTTCATCTTCAAAGTAAGGATTAGTTTAGCCTCTAGCTATATCAACTAAAATTTAAATGGAGATTGGCATATGAATACAACATTGCCATTTTTTTCATCAGGACAACACTAGACCTCATACCATTTTGCAGACCTGGAAGAAATTGGTACAGTCAGATTACCACATTTTGATCCCTGCAAATTTCTCTTAATGAGAATAACAAATTCTCTGGAAGCTTGTTAAAACATTTAGACTACTTCTTTACTCAGAAAGATACTAAGTTCTGGAAGAATGCAATCATGAAGGTGCCTCAAAGATGTCAAAAGGTAGTAGTTGAATAAATCTATGTACAAATATCTAAATATTGTCTCTGAAATTCACTTATATATATATATATATATATATATATATATAAAAATCACTATGCCTTTTTGTTTCAACCCTATATTTGAACAGCATTTTTTATTTATGCATGTTTGGTTGAAAACCAACAAAAGTTTTTGGAAAGATTTTTTATCTAATTTCTTTTGTGCAAACCATTTTTAGTTTTCAGAATTTTTTACAATAATGTTCACTCTGTACAAGGATCAAGGGCCACTCAAAGTAGAGGGTTAAGACAGAATATCAACATAAATTGTCCAATGTCTACTGAGGGGTTTCAGCTTTCATAAGAGATTATCAAATAATTTTGTCTGGATGGATGGATCTGTCTTTTGGCATACATTGTTACTTTGGTGTTTTTAGAGTTTAGTGTTTTTACACATCAGTGGGTGCGATGATGGGTCTTCCCCTCAAATTTCATGCCTTCATGCATCATTTTTTGGTATTGCATCTTTTTTTTTTTTAAATTGTAAAATATATTTAGTATGTCTACTCCTAAATTGAATAAGATTTAATTGATGCCAGGTTGTTTTTTATGATTAAAACTTATAATATTTGTAATCATTTTTTTTTTTACAATTTACGTAATTTACAGTTGTTTTTGTTCTAAACCAATATCTTGCCAACCATTCCAGGACAATCATTGCTTTCACTTTAACATTTATTTGTCAAGTTCACTGCTAAAAAAAAAAAAAAAAAAACTGAAGAGAATCATTTTCTTGCACACATGGCATTTGGTCACTGTAGAGACATCTTATATGTCACATCTATCTTGTGACATCTATTTTGATTTGTTGGCTGTCATGTTAAAAAGAAACAGAGTGTATGGCAAACATGCAGAGGTATAAAATAGGCCCTACTGTGTGTTAATTCACTGGAGGTAGGTAAATGATGCTGGTAATATCACTACTATTATAGTTTTCTTCTATTTATATTTCATTGTCATACTGTTTGGGAATTATTAAAAACAGAAAGTATAAAGAGTTGTATAAAATCATCAGAAAAATAAATTTATTTTGGCATGTATATTTTTTGCAATATATTTGCTTAATTTAACCACCAGTCTATTTTTGATAGGTAATATGTTAGTCATATCAAAAAAAATATAAAATATTCAAGTTAATTACTCTGCTTACATTCATATAACAAACCTCATTCAATAACCCTCTACCATGAATGATTCTTTGGCCTTATACTGATTGAACAATTAAAAAATATATATATAAAGAATATGCTTTAGAAGTAAACAAATTATTCTGAGCAAAAGGCACCAAAGCTTCAAAATTATAAAAAATAATAACATTAAGAATCATAATTTGGGAAGAGGGAGGAAATTTGTCAGCACTGACAAATACAAACCAGATAAGCCATGGTAAGGGGAGTAACAGCAGCTTGTTGCTGCCACTGTTGCTTGAGAAAAATATTATCAACTGAATGACTGCATCCTGTATTTTTGTAACCTTGGTTAGATACATTGAGTTCATCTCTAGAACTGAACTCTAAAACCTGTTAAAAAAAAGAAAAAGAAAAAAAGAACAAGCAAGGAAAAAAATGTCTATCATACATGAAAGTAATAAAGTGTTTTTGTCCTTGTTTCAAATTGCATTCCTTACTTTTTGTTAAGAGTTTTTAGCTATAATACATCCAAGATCTATAAAGGATAAGTTCTGTAATGTTCTACAGAAGATAAATGAAATTAACTAGGGTTGAACTAAAGTTACATGCACAACACCATGCTTCTTACTTCATTGGTGTTTGTAGAATTAATTTGAGCTTCTTTTTCCCTTTCGTTCATCAAAAATGTTGTCAAATAAAATGCTGTTTTCAGTGCCTTTAGAAAAAAGAAAAACAATAATAATGAACATAACTGAGGCTTATTGAGCTGCTTTGTTAGTCATCAAAAAGGAAGTTGTGAGTGACAAAATTTTAGAAACTTCATTGCATTGGAAAGCAACATGCACATTATTTTATCTCGTCATTTAGATAAAATATAATCAATAATAGATATTGAGGAAAGAATTCACAAAATTTATTTTAAATGGCTGTTTTTTTTCATTAATAAATAAAAAAACCTCAACAGCAAAGTGCTTAAAACATTTTTTGATATTACTAATGTAATTAACTTTTTAGTTAATAAATTCTTTGGAATTTACTTTTTATTTGAGCAAATTTATACACTGTATATGCTTGTGTATAAGCTGACTTCATGTATAGTTCAACCCCTGAAATTTCTTGCATGAATTTTAACCCCAACTGAAAGAATTTACCCATATATATTGTGTAACCCTACCACCTATTTTTTGCATTAAAAAAACGATCATAAAAAGTTGCACTATATTAGAGTATATACAATATTTCTAAAAATTTAGTTTGCATATTATTTTTAAACCAGATCTGGTCAACTTTAGTTTTGAAGATAATTTTCAATGAACATTTTAAGTATTAGATGAGAAATTTTCCTTCTCATGAGATAAAATTCATAAAGACTGAATTATGTAATTTGAATAAATTTTTGGTCAAGTGCATTAATTTTACAAACTGTGAGAATATCTATGTCTTAATTATGTAAGAATATCTATGTCTTAATTATGTAAGAATATCTATGTCTTAATTATGTAAGAATATCTATGTCTTAATTATGTAAGAATATCTATGTCTTAATTATGTAAGAATATCTATGTCTTAATTATGTAAGAATATCTATGTCTTAATTATGTAAGAATATCTATGTCTTAATTATGTAAGAATATCTATGTCTTAATTATGTAAGAATATCTATGTCTTAATTATGTAAGAATATCTATGTCTTAATTATGTAAGAATATCTGTCTTAATTATGTAAGAATATCTATGTCTTAATTATGTAAGAATATCTATGTCTTAATTATGTAAGAATATCTATGTCTTAATTATGTAAGAATATCTATGTTCTTAATTATGTAAGAATATCTATGTCTTAATTATGTAAGAATATCTATGTCTTAATTATGTAAGAATATCTATGTCTTAATTATGTAAGAATATCTATGTCTTAATTATGTAAGAATATCTATGTCTTAATTATGTAAGAATATCTATGTCTTACAAAGTAACATAAGGATACTAATGTCAAAATGCCATCTTTTCATTGTATTTTTGCAGGTATATTTAATTTTTTGCTGTCTTAGGGAAAGCCATGTTCTGGTTTTCATATCAAAACTTCTATGAAGAATTATTTTATCTTGGATGAAACAATGCAGATTAGATCATCAAAATCAAGTAAAATTGTGTGCTAAAGTGCATCATCGAATATAGCAATTGCTTGTTAAATAATTTTTCTTCACTCTGTCAGGATTAAAGATCTTTGCAAATATGTTAGGACTAAATTTATAGATTTATTTATAAAACTTGAATTTTTCTTGTGTCTACAGCAATTGTTCAAGTTATTTTGTTTTCTTTATGGTTTATAAAAAAGAAAAAAAAGGTACATGATACATGTAAAAATATAAAAATACATGTGAAGGATTTAAAAAGAGAGAACTGATTCTTAAAAGATGCAAAATGAAAAACATGAATTGCAATTGTTTTAGTAATGTTAATACTACTTTCTAATTCCAGTCATTTTGTTACTTTTAAGACATTTAAGCTCTAAACATACAACACATGACATTAAGTATTACAAACAAAGGGAGGTAATTCAAAATAAAATTACTGAAAATACAAATATACAAGGGAGCATACAAATGCTAGACATTGAAAAAAGTTAATTTTTTAGTTGATAACTTTTTTCAAAAAGAATTTATAATTTGGTTCATGCCTTAAAACAGAATTATTCCTTTCTGGTCCAAAGTTTTTTTTTTATTATTATTATTTGCTTATGAAAATTGATTGATTGGTTTCCTATGGTTTATAAAGCCTTTGCAGGTTATTTAAAACCAGAAAACATTTTTAGATTGTAAGAATTTTGTTATTTTTTGAGATAACCTTTTAGTGATACAAGTCTTATTAATTAACCCATAACTGGGGGAGAAGAGATGGATTCATATCTTTCCTAAGGGTATTTGCATGTAAGTGAATATAACAAACCTAATGAGAATTGGAACGGTTCTCTGATTATTAATTTCAAACCATTATCCATTACACCACCCACACATCCAAGCTTACTATTCCTGGTATTCCCAAGGAGTCCCCCATCTATGTATGAACCAAGCTTAATGTTGCTTAACTTTGGTGATTGTATGGGAACCAGTGTTTCAACTTGATGTGGTCATAAGCCATGAAAATTAAAAATTTCTTTAAAATGATTTCTTCACATGCATAAATAATTGAGTTACTGGTGCTAAACTAACAATTAAAACACTCCTGTTTAACAAACTAAATCCCTGATGACAACAGAATGAAATATATATAATGTGCCTTTTTAAATTGACACGTCCTTTCATAGCTCATCAGTTTCCTGTGAACTGTAATGATTTCTTGAGAAAAATAGTGGAATAGTTTCCCATTGTCTTCTCCATGGTTTTAAATTCAGGCCTCTCTTAGACTGGCTGACATCCAGTTGACCCTGCTATTTAACCCATACATGAGAGACAAGAGAAATTTATGCCTTTCCTGAGGGTATCAGTGCAGGTGAATGCAACAGATTTAGGCTCACTGATTTCTCTTTTCATAATGGTAATGGCTTATGGCCATATCATGTTGAAACACTGGTTCTCTGAAGTTTAGTAACATCAAACCCATTCAGTATCTAGAAGGGCAACCACTTGGGAACACCAGGTGCTGTAAAGTTGTGTAACGGATAAACACTCAGAATTGAAAATCAGAGATCCACATTCCAATTTCACTTGGGTTCATTATATTCACTTATGTGCAAATACTCTGGAGAAAGGTATAAATCTAACTATACTCCCCTAGCTATGGGTTAATTAATACTTGTATCACTAAACCATTATTATCTAAAAGAAAAAAAATTCTTCAGTATCTATCTATATTTCTGAGATGAGGAATTATGTACACTATTTACATTATTCTGACTATTGTCCTCATCTTTGTACCAATATTTATATAACATTTTGGCCATTGTACGCTCCGGCCTTCTTCAGGTGGTTGGAATATCGAACTGAACCCTTTATTTCGCTCACTGGGGTAGATTGTTCTAGTTCCATGTTTAATGGATGTCAATTATCAGTTATCTCCTGTTAATTCCTCTCTGTAAATTCTTACAATCTAAAAATATTTTCTGGCTTTAAATAACTTGCAAAAGGTTGATAAACTGTAAAAATACAAATCAATCATGTTGATAACAATTACACAACCTGGTTATAATTATAAATTAAAATAATATTTCTGGGTGCCCACACTTGGAACCTTCTGCCACATCTAAGCTATGCTTAGTAAATCACTATTAAAATAATGTTAAAATATAACTTTCCTCATGAAAGCTTTCAACAGGGTTTGACATACAGGTCTTTTACACAAGTTGAAAAGTTATGGTGTCTCCGGACAAATTTTTGAACTGATTCAGTCTTATCAAAACATGAAATGAAAATTATCCTAAATGGCCACTCCTCTAGATCCTTTTTTACTAATGCAGGTCTTCCCTAGGGCTCTGCTCTTGGTCCTACTTTGTTTTTAATTATCATTTATAATTTTCCCAATAGCATCAGTTCCCAACTTGGTATCTATACTGATAAGACAACTATTTACTCCTGTCTTGATAGCAAGTCTGATAAGGTCAAATTGGCAGCTGATGTCAAAAACAACCTTCAGTCTGTTGTTAACTGGGGCAAAGGATGATTTGTTAATTTTAAAACCTCCAAAACTAAACTGCTCTATTAAATGCTAGAGAGACCCCTTTCTGCCTTCCACCAGCATGGCTGATGCTAACCTCCAGGAGAGTGATTTGTTGCACCTTCTTAGGCTAATGTTCTTGGTGGATATGAAGTAGAAAATCCATTGCTAGGTCTGCTGTTAAAAAAGTTGATTCACTGCGTCATGCTAAACAATTTTTCTCTCCAGAATCTATCTTACATATCTATAAGTCTACCATTCATCTAGGCTTGGAATATTGATGATACATATGAACTGGTGCTTCTGCTATGATAAAATTCAAAGAAGAATCAACAATATTATTGGTCGTGATATGGCATCTTGGCTTTAGTCACTGTTATAAAGTTGCCTCCCTGTGCCTTTTCTATAAATACTTCCATGGCAACTGTTTGGAGGAGTTCTTCATTATAGTAGCTACATTTTATGAATTTAAGCAAGGCACTAGACTGGCAATGAGGTCTCATCAATTTACAGTTGAGTTGGTGAGATGGCTAACTGTAAATTCTATGCTAACAGTTTCTTTTCTCACACTTCTTGCTTATGGAACTCTTCGCGCTCCATACTTTCCAGTCAACTTTAATCTTCAAAAATTGAAATGTAATGTCAATTGCTATCTACTGTTCTCCTGATTACTCTTCTTTTGTTCTATCTCCTTAGTAATGGTTCCGTTTTCTAATTCTTCCACACTCAGTCATAGTGGCTTTACTGCCTTGTTTGGGATGAACTTGATAAAAAATAAACATTTAAGATTAAAGGAAAGTATTTTGTAGCATAGAGGTTCAGTTTAAGCTTTATTTTTCTTACTCAAGGTTAAAAGCCAGAAGATTCTATAATACCTTTCTATTTCACTCGAAAGGAAGAAGTCAAGATATTGCCTGATGTCATCGACTTAAGAATATCTCATATTTTTACAAATTTTATATTGAATAACAGTAACAATAGTATGTCCCACACCAAATGAGGACAGGATTACATATGTAAGTCAATAAATCCATAGCCTAATAATGAAAAATAAAAAAGCATTTAACTTAAAAAATAAATGTTTTTTGACAATATTGTCAATGCACTTAACTCAATGTTAATAACATTGGATTGAACCCTATAGTCATAAATTAAATACAGATAATAACAGCACTGAATTATGGATCTATTGATCTGCCTTCATAAATGGACCTTTCCCATTACTTATACCAAAAATATGTACAAAAAAAAAAAAAAAAAAAAATCACCCAGCAATATATTTTTGTGCTAACATTTGAATATTAAGAAAGTGATGGTAGCAAGTTGTCAAATGCCATAGATTGCTTGAATTAAATTATTCCTAAAATGAAACTTTGTACACAAAGAATAATCTGGTTTAGAACTGCCAGATGTATGACAAGTTCATTCAATTAGAATGAATGAATGAAAGAAAGGGAAAGGAAACAAGATTATTCAAGACTGAACTTTGAAATTAAAACTAAAATTGTTGAGGGGAGGAGTGAGGAAAAGTGGAAATGGAGAGTAGTAGGTAAGAAATGAAGTAAACCAAACTTTTGTAAGTAAATCAGTTACCAAACAACCATAACTGAGTTTGTTTAATATTTTAGTAAAATCAGATTACTACTTTGGTTATGATGTCAGTTAACAAATACTGTAAGTATTATATGAAAACATTCCCATATCAACATGCAATCCCACTAGTCTTTTTTTTAAACAAGGGAGATAATTTCATGACATGAGGAATACACAAACATACAAGAAAGCACTAATCTACAAGTAACAGGAGAATGATTTTTTACAAGGTCTTTGTCATGAGATCATATACATAAAAGTTGTATTTTACCTTAGAAGATACTGTAATAAAGGGAGAAATAGTGGCATGTATTATCTATAACACAAAATGTAAGAGAAGTGTGTGTGTTTATATATATATATATATATATATATATATATAGTGTGTATGTTACCTGTGATGATGTATTAGAATCTGAGCTCTTAGGAGTGTTGGACATAGTCAGGGTTGGTTTTGTTTTGTCTTTTCGATAGATCAGTGACTGGCTTCGTTTTAGCTTTCCAGCTGAAAAAATAAAATAAAGATGAATGAAAGAGATAACAAATTGGACGGCAATGAAGGATAGAGTTAAAGAAGAGTGTAATTAACATCATTTAATTATTTACTTGTGACATTAATTAAAAGAAAAACAAAAGAGGACAAAAAAAAAAAAACAAAAAAAAAACAGGTAAAACTATAAATGGCGATGAAAAATCAGGCAGAGAATTTTGTCTTCTTCATAATAAACAGATTTACTGTCCTTTATCAAAAACTAGCAGGCAGGTAAAAATCAGAAAGAATCAAGCAGCTATTACTTACCTCACATCTCTAACACATTATACACAGATTTATTCCAATTATTGTCCATATGGTTGCTATAGTCACCATATTTTGGCCATTGTATCTGATGTAATGAATATGCATATAACTGGTTCCCCCTCACAGTAATATGATTGGCTGGTGTCAGCCATAAATACAGACTGATGTGGAGGTACAGAGGACGCCTATTGTCTTTGCCTATTGCATACCACTACAACAAGGACCAGTCCATTATGGTTACCTGCTAGATTGTCCTACCTGGTTACAGTAGTCAACAACCACTTTGCTACTTCGAATAAATATATCCCTTTCCAGAACATATCAGTATCTTCCCATCTTAAGGTGCCTGTTGGATTCTGTAACATTACCAGAATTTTATGCCTAAATGTTTATTTGATCCATTAGTTAGACTATTCTCTTTCCATTTGTCTATACTAGAGAATAACACGTTAGTTAATTCTTCTGTTATTTCATCTTGTTTTAATTTATCCTTTTCATATTATTTCTACTTATTCCACTGGACAGTAGAATGAAAACAATCAACCCATCACCATGGATGGGATAAAGAATTTAGCTCAAAATTCCAATGCAAAGAATATCCAATGGTATAATAGTAAAAAACATTGTGTCTATAACAACCAAGATGAGGATAACAGTCCTATAGCATAATGAAAATTCCTCATTTAATAAATTCAGATGAAATTTCCAATAGACAAAAACATTATATAATTATACAGACATGTTAATGCCAATAGAATTTGCTGCAGGAACTGTTTTTTAAATTTTTTCAATTTTCCAATAGGGGTTTGCAAACAGTATGAGTTTAATATATATAAGAAAAAACTGGACATTGAGAAACAAATGCAAAACAAGAGAGAACTTACCAACACTTGTGGCCAAATGTCGTAAGGAGCCCGTGTAGGATTTTTTTTGTAGGGGATGCAATTCTTCAACTTTGCTTTCAACATGGAATGTTAAACGTACTTCTAGTTCTCCCTGTTCTTTGATAACACCAGTCTTTTTGGACTTTGTTTGCAAAGGAATCCACCTACAATTATCAGAAAGGAAGATATCAAAATGAACAGGAATATTATATGTGTAAGAGTTCTGGGATTGCAAAGGAAGTGTTTGTTGCAGATTACTTCCACAACGCAGAGAACAAATCAGTAAGTTCAGACTTGAATATCAGGGACAGAAAAAAATGAAAAATCTCGATTCGCAGATACTATCTCACAAATTACAATGCACGTAACCAGTCAAAACAAAAAAAAAAAAAAAAAAAAAAAAAAAAAAAAAAAAAAAAACTAACTCACTCCTCGATGACCACAGTAGCCAAAATACACAAATTTTCTCACTCCCCTGATTCAAGAACACCAACTGCTTTTAGCGGCCAAGCATTTTTTCCATTCGTTGACAACTGGGAGAGGATGCCCAATTTTAGTATATCAAAATACTTTTATGGCGACTCCTGTCACTGACTTGTTTCTAATTTAAATATTCTGTCTTCAGCATGTCGTGGAATATGTGCCCCCCCTTTTTTTTTGGTAAGTAATTTTCTTTTTCACCACATTTTCCATCGTAGGATACACGCGACATGCTGTCACTTGGTTTGATGAGGTAATTCGCCGTTTTCTTCACTATAATATGGTACTACCAAAAGATTTTGAGAACTTAAGATATTAACTAACTTCCTGAAAGAAAAAAAAATGTCAAAACAAAGTTTATCATTTCCTGGTGTAAATCTGTTAAGTGGCATGTGAAATATCTAGAGAAACAGAGAATGCTGGGTAGCTTCAGAGAGGAACTGATTGGTCAAACCATTCAAATTTCCTAAACTTTTCAGAAGTACCTTGTATATAAGACTTATTTAATTCAGTAACATTTGCCTTAATTCTTGACCCCCTGACATTATTCTGATTTCTAATACCAAAGATACAGACTTTGCCAAAATTTGTTCAAATAAATTTTATGCTAAAAATTATAAAATTCAAATGTATGATGATCAGTTTATTTTCCTACCACTGAGTTTTTTTGTAACGAAAATTATTAAAATCAAATTAGAGCAGAAATGAAATCATACTTAAAAAATATATATATAAGTGAGCAATAAGTAAACTGAAAACATTCAAACTCACCCTAGACCTCAAGTGGAACTCTTATATCTGATCTATTGCTAAAAGATGCTGGAAAAATGGATTGTCCCCTGTATTGCTCCAGTAAGTATCTGACTCCCCCTGCTATACTGTACAAAAACCAGATCAAACCAAAAATGGAGTATTGCTGCTATATCTGGACTGGAGCTGACTAGTCTTCACTTGGCTGCCATAATAGAGTTCAAAAGTGTCTACATAGCCTTGTGAGTGAGGAATTATTTCCCACCTTACAACCCTTTTCTCCCACAGACAAAATGCAGTGAGCCTCTTGTGGCTGTATTGCTATGGCAAGTGTGTCAACAAGCTATATTCTTTGGTTTCACCAGTCCTAACCTTTGCAGCCATGCCATGTACAGAAAGAAGAACCATCCTCATTCCTTTCGTATTTCATTAGTCAGAAGAGTAAGTTCCACTGACGAGAATTGCTGCTTTGTGTAACAGACTCATGGCAGGATGTTTTTCTAATCACTACAATCTTGATCTCTTCAAGTCTAGGGTTAACTGTTATATTTCCTACATAACCTTATGAACTTCACTTCTTGCCTTTTTTTTTTTTTTTTTCATTACTGTCATATAGCACCACACAGTAACCCTCTACCTTGAGTGGTTCTTGAGCCTTGTATTGGGTGAATATTAGTATTAAAAATATGTATAGGAGACTAGTAGCCCCAAACTTTCATTTCTTTCCTCAAGTAGGGAATTATAGAAATAACTGAAAAGGTGCAGGAATGAATTTTGAGGCCATTTTATTGATTGTCGTGTTCTGCTACCAAGGAACTGACAAGTGAAACCTGGAAATGATTAACTACATAAACACCACATGGATGACAACTGCTATATGCCTATGCTTTTCTGCTGGATAAGACTGTTCCTTTTTTGGAGGGGTTGGGAGTGTCCAAGTCAATGCTAATTTTTTAAAAATAATGTTCACCTTATATACAGTCCAGAGCGACTTAAGGTAGGTTACTGAATGCAGTTTTGTAAAGTTAGAATAATAATATATATATATATATATATATATATATATATATATAAAATAACAAAAAGAAAGAGTTTTAAGATATATAATCCAAATGTTCTTATAGATATTTTTTATTTTTACAAAATAGTGCTCAATGTAAATTTACAGAGCATTAATATTATAAATTAATTGATTTAAAAGCATTTTTTTTAAGCTACACAGTTTTCACCATTTTGGAATAACTTTTAAAATTAATTTTAAAAATTACTCCAAAATTCACTGAGGATGAAATGGAACTAATGTCTTTAATTTAATTACAAAAATTAAATTCACGTTTTTTTAGCTTCCATTTTGAAACATGAACGAACTTACGTGTGGTAAAAAAAACATTTTAAATCAATTAATTTATAATAAACAATTTTATATTTTTTTTACCCTGCCTTTCAAAAAAAATGGTTTTGATTTTTCAGATGTTGCAATAGTAAGATTAGCATTTGTTCTTATTTCATAACTAGTGATAATTTACAAACAATATAAAAAAATAAAGAAACAGCAAAATTGATTCAGTCTTTAGTTTATTTAGTCATTCAAACTTGTACCAATCAATCATTCTACTGACACAAGAAAAAGTACTAAGGAAAGCAAGAACAAGAACATTTTTTTTATGTTTTTCTTACTAATTTAACCTTTGTATTTGTCAAAGAAAGTTTAAAAAACATACCGATTTTGGGGTCTGTCAAAATTTTTGCACTCTCGCAGTGGTATTATAGCATAACCAAGAGATTCATCAGCAATTTTTCCTCGATGGAATAAATTCACTTTGATTTCTGCATCCATGCTGGTAATTAAGCTGAAAAGAAACAAAAGAGAATTAAGCAAGTAAACAAGACACAATCAAAATGTTGTTACAATGCATATCTCAGTAATTGTCACTGCCTTAATGTAACTACCCAGTGTCTTTTCTATAAATACTTTCATGGTAATTGTTTTGATGAAATTTACTCCATGATACCTAGACTTTATGAATTTATGCACAATACTAGATTAGCAGCAAGAACCCATCATTTTACAGTTGAAATGTCAAGATGTAACTAAGTTCTATGCTAACAGTCTCTTTACTAGCACTTCACTTGTGGAACTTTCCGACTTCTTGCCTTCCAGACAAATTCAAAAATTTAAATGCAATGTCAATCATTATCTTCCGTCTTCCTAATTCCTGTTCTTTTATTTTTCTCTTAGATGTTTTTTTTTACATATTCTCCTACACTCAGTAATTCCTTGTGCCTTAGTGGTTTTATTGTCTTGCTTGGGGTGAAATGAGAAGTAGAAAAAAGAAAGTTTGAATTTCTGATAAAGATTTTTCATTTATTCCTTTTTGACTAATATTTCTTTCATCTTATTTCATGATTTATACAACTATAGTTGTATTCATTTTCAGAAAGAATAAATTTCAACACATGGTAGAATTTTACATATATTCTTTTTCTTCTACATGCAGTGTTCCTTTAGGAGATGGGCAATCATTCACCACAAGTTCCTGTCCTTTGCCACTCTTGGCAATGTTTGTCTTTTGCAATCTCCTCATAACATTGTTCTACCAATCATTTTCACAAGTTCCTTAGTTAGGTTATTCGTCGTTTTCCTCTGTTCCTCTTGCCTTCAACATATCCTGTAAGTGTTAAATTTTCTAAGCCCTCTTTCCTATTTTTATATAATGAATAGCAATACAAGAGGAGAAGAAATATACTTCTGTGTGTACTCATAGCTGAAAAGGAGGAAAAACACTTTGCTATTAGACATGCGTGCATGTTAAAAATATAATATGTGGTCATCTGTTATATAGGAATAATGTGTCACTGCTGACATTTGAGTTTGAACATAGATCACCAGTGAGTAAACACAGGGGATCCCGTTATTGAATTAAGTAGACCGTATAACCATAGAGGAAACACATATGTAGGAAGTAGCCAACAACTAATGATCTCTATTTCTAGTCTATCCTCTATACTATACAGATCTCCATTTCTACTATCACTATACGAACCACTATTCTCTACTCTATTCACTATACTATTTCTCTTTTCAGATCATTATAAGGATTACTTTTTGAGCGAGTATTATCGAGCAAGTACTATTAGTGCAAGTGCTATTCAAAGGTATCTGACACCAGTATTGCTCAATGGCATACTATAGTTGTATCTGCGATTACAAAGTCTCTACTACAAGTATTCGTTGGCATTACAAAAGTGGCAATGAATGTTTGTCGACATCACAAAATCACCCATGGAAAAGAAATTTCCCCCCAGTGGAGAGAAGGCTTGTGTTGACACTGCTACAGTTCAAAGCAAAAAGAAAGGTTTTATCATCTTGTTCTTTTATAATTCTAAACAGTGACACTTAACAGGTGACTGGCATATCAGGTGGAGGTAAATTCCACACATAACAAAATAAAGAGATGTGCAACTTTTAAAACTTCAGAGAATATAGTGAGATCAAGAAATGTAAGGAGTATGAATCACAGAAATTCCATATTGCATCCTTGTAACTTTGGAATTGAATAATCAATTCAGGTCTTAATAAAACTACAGTTTTGAATAATGCCTTTTCCAGTTATGTCTTTATATGAGTTAATTAAGTGTTATACATGATACATGCTTGGGCAATCATGTCTTTTGATTCATGACTGACAAGGCAGAAGATTTTCCTTGCAGTAGGTTGCCATTTCTTTCTGCAGTAGACTGGTTGCCAACTAAGGCTATAGGCGCCAGTCTGTCTTGCTATTCATCTCATAGCTTGGGGGTGGGGAGAAGAGATGGATTCATACCGTTCCCAATGATATTTGTACATAAGTGAATGTAACGAACCCAACTGGAATTTGAACTCAGCTCCGATTTCTCATTCTGAGCCATTATGTATTACACCACCCACACATCCATAACTTTATATATACCTGTAAAAATTATAATGAATTATTTTGAAGAATTCAGCAAAAGAGAATGCTGTTCATATTTTACTTCTATTTTGTACTTCTGCTTGATTATCATGCTAATGCCTATATTTTGCAGTAACCAGGCTGAGGAAAAAGACCCCCCCCCAAAAAAAAACAAGCATGTTTATGTTGGCTGAAGTTTCCATATTCCAAACTTGTTGAAATTTCCTCTCAGTGACAGACTGACACAATAAATTCAGCATAACAGCAATCATAAGAGATTGAATTTTAAAATAATCAATAAAAGTCATCATTGAGATTCAAACCCTGAATTAAGCAAATTAATCAGTAGGTTTCAGTATTACAAGCCATGAGAGACGTTTCCAATTGATTGTCAGTTCTGAACCAAAATACTAGCCATCTGTGCTGCTTGTGAAAGTTGTTCTTATGGTTTGTGTATAAATGGCTGGCAGAACAGGGATTAGGAGAGACAACAAAAAGACAAACTTTATTAAAAGATGTATGGGTCAGGAAACGGTGGAGAGCCGTGATTGCCAACGTCATATAAGGTTTGGTTTGTTTTACAGCATATCGGCCTCAATGGGTTATTTAATGCCAACAAAATTTTTATTGCTGGTAATATTTTTATTTTAAAAAATATATCGCTGGTAATAATTTTTTTTACAAAGTATTTCTGGTATTCAGTGTTTCAACCCCAGTTTGGGGGTTAACTATTTGCCCATATCTGGGACCCTAATAGGTACTATCACTCTGTGTCAGGGTGGATCTGGGAACACATGCAATTAAAAGGTGGTTGCATGCCCCTCAAAACCACCTGAACAGAGGCCTTGCTGTCAGATGTAGTTAATTTTCATACCCAGGTTAATGGGAAACATTCATATATATGGGACACAGCAAAATATAACAAAAAAGAACAGTTAGGCTACCATATGCATCTTCAGTGTTGATTTATTCACGGCTACATTGAATATAATATTTGACTATGACAAACACCTCTCTCTTGACATTGTTGATGTATCAGGTTTTATGAAATAAAATCATTACTTCACCAATAAAATATGATTCAAGAAAAGAGTTTAAATTTCACAAGGCTTTTCATATTTGAACAAGGAAATGTGGCTAGAAATTGTAAGTTTTTACTAGCTACAGTAATGTTTTTATTTTGTCAAGGCAGACAAGTTTCAAATGGCCTCGAGTTATTGAAGCCTGTAGCTCAAGTTCCAGATGATTAATACCCACAAACATGCAATTCAGACTGATTCTAAAGTGGGATATTTCAATCAAAGCAAAAGAAGGATTCTTTTAAGACAAAGTGGTTTTCAAGTTTAATTGTTTCTTTATAGCAATATATTCAAGAAAATAAAATTCAGTGAGAGTGTCTGGGAGATTGACATTGATCTGTCTCAAATTCTTTTATATTAATGGCTATCTATGTTCAATTAGTCTTTAGAACTTTCTTAATTGTTCTGGAGATTTAGATTTTTGCCTTCCTCCTCATCATCAGTTTCCATTTGTATAGACATATCCTGATTATTTTCATTATGTTCATAGTTCTTTATGTCCTTTGACATTTGCTCATCCTTTCTAAATATTTGTCTCTGAATCTTATTTGATCTACATGGATATACAGCTTTGGCTTCTTTTTGTACTAGAAAATGTGCCATTTTTGGATTTGACTCATTCCTTTTGTACCACATCCTTTCATTTATAGAATATGGCATTGTTAGCAGAACTCGGATTTGTCTTCCCATCAGTGCTGAGGGTGTATAATAGCAGTAGGATTCTGTAACAATCTCAGTAGAAAGATTTTTATTTTCTTTTTTGCTGCAAACATGCTGTTCGCCCCATTTTTATGATTTGTACCATCCTTTCTGCTATACCATTTGACTGAGGGTGTTTTGTAAGGCCTGCATCCTATCTATGAGTTGACTGATTAATTCATTCATTTTCTATGGTTTATCAACACATGGAGGTTATTAAAGCCAGATAATATTTTTTGATTGCAAGAATTATTTTTTTTTGAGATAATGGTTTAGTGATACAAGTCTTACTAATTAACCCATAGCTGGGGGTAGGATTCATACCTTTCCCAGGAATATTTGCACATAAGTTAATATAACAAACCAATCAAGAATTGAAACTCAGCAATCTGATTAACAATTCCAAGCCATTATCCATTACAAGTGCATATCCAAGCTTACTGCATCTGGTAAGCCCACATGATCACCCATGTACGCTTGATGTTGCTTAAGCAGTGATTACATGGGAACCATTGTTTCAACATGAAATGGCCATAAGTGGGTTTTCTTAATCTTAAAACTCTGGCACATTGTCAAATACCAGAGTTTTTGGGATTCCATTTCTTTAAAATATGATTTTTAACACGTTTCACTGTAGAACTTTTGTCTGACACACAAAAGACTTCAGTCCATCCTGAAAAGGTATCTACTAATATTAAGAAAAAATCCCCTCCACTGATGTATGCATGAGCTATGTGAACTACTTCATGGCTCTAACTTTTCTGCCACAAAATTTCTTATTTCTTTACATTTGGACCATTGTTTTTACATCTCTTGAATATCCTGACAATTATGCTTCTAATTTTAGCCTTTTTGTATAGCAGCTTTTCTACAATGTATGCCATCATATATATTCTTTATATACTTAATATCTTTTGTTATCGTATAGTTTTTCTTATTAACTACTTCCTGACAAAAAAAGGACATGTCTGATTCTACCATGTCAAAATTCCAACTAGTCGTAGACACTAAAACATATTTTTATGGTTGGTTATCAAATTCTGTTAACCCTGATACCTAAATAAACTTTTATGTAACTTCAACAGGTAACAATAGAATTGTTTAATATCTGTCTATATTTCTGAGATGGGGTATTAGGTACACTTAAGGACACATGGCACAGTGGATAAAGATGTTGGTTAGATCCAGTGACAGGACCCAAAGAGTTGAGTTCAGTACCTGGTTAAGGCAGTGGAAAACTTGGAGAGGTGAATTAACAGGAGATAACTGATAACTTAAAAAATTTTACAGAGGTATATTCAAAAATGAAAACCCCTTTTTTAAATAAGTACTATATTTATGCATTTTTTCATTGTGTTCTTCATATTTGTTTGTTAATAGCACATGGAACTAGAACATTCTACCCCAGCAAGCAAAATAAAGGTTTCAATTTGACATTCCAACTACCTGAAGAAGGCCGGAGCATACAATGGCTGAAATGCTGTGATAAAGATGACAATAGTCTAAATAATGTAAATAGTGGAATTGTTTAGATAATTTATAACTGGCTCTTCAGTTTGCAATAAGAGAATAGGCATGAAAAAGCATCTAAAGAGGAGATAGGAAAGAACCCAAGGTTAAATGGATTCATACCTTTTCCAAGTGTATTAGTTCAAGAGAGTTACAAGTTATAGAGAAATATTGATCATTAGAAATTGTAAATTCTATACTTACAGATCACATTCTTCAAACCATTCAGGATTTCGGGCTTTCTTAATTGTGGTTGTTTGATATTTCTCCTTCCCCAATTGTATGGTTGCAAAGACATCATTATTACCTGGAAACAGTGAGGAAAATAAATGTTTATCATTAAGAATATAAAGAATATTTTTTTTATCTCTTATGTAAATACTTTTATATATTAATTTAGATTTACATAGCAAGCTTTTTCTTATTTAGAACTAGCAGTAGAGCCCAGCATTGCCCGGGGATGTAACAGTAAGAGATAGATCAAGTATTGACCATCATGAAGACTGAAAAATAAAATTGACAAAGATTATTGTTTAAGGTTGACGGACACGCATGTCTTAATTAGTTTTTTTTTGTTTTTTAATTTTTTTTTATGAATTGGTCAAACCCGAACTAAAACAAAAACATTGTTTTCAATCATTATGAGTCTATCGATTGAATAGAATTTTATTATAAACAATTGTCTTGTAAATGGAATTTTTAAAGCATTCTGAATGTAAAAATAAAGAAAAAGTGTGCAAGACAATAAGAAACACTACCAAAAAAAAAAAAAAAGTTTTGTTGAGTGTTGTTGAAAAATGATCCCATATAAATCTTGAATATGTAGGAAAACATCACATATACAAACAACCACACACACATAACAACCTGGGTTTCATAATAAGTATAACTCGATATGAGTTGTCCCCCTTTCATTCTGGTAACAGAATCGTGTTTTCAAATTGATTTCGTACAAAAACAATTGTGTTTTTCCAATTTTTGGTGCTGTCAGAACCACTGCAAGTAATTTTATGCAGTCCTGTGAAGTTTTGTTGAAATCGGTTGAAAAATGTAGGAAATCAGATCCAATATATAAACGTACAGACACACACACACAATCTGCGTTTTATAATAAGTAAGATTACTGCAATATAATCTATCTACTTGAAATTTCAAAAGCATAAAAAGACACAAAATGGTTTCAACAAAGAAAACAAAAAATTGGTAGTAACTTATTTATTCTCTAGGAGAGGAATTTTGAGAGATGAACAATCTGTTCAAATTCCCCTAACTCTTGGGTAACTTCTCATATTGCAATCAATACTTCAACATCTACATTGTATATCATATACACAAATGTACATATTTTTTTTTACACATTTTTGTTTAAATATTCTAGCTGAAAATTTATATAAAAAATAAATCTTCAGTTTGATTAAATAATGTAAATTTGATCTGTCATTTTGTGAAACAGACTCCCTAGAAGATGCTTCTTTGACCACTACAATCTTAACCTCTCAATATATATCCTACATATCTTTATCATATGCACCTCTTCCATCTTTATGCCCTTATAACAATTTTATTCAGTAACCCTCTCTTTCGAGTGGCTCTTCGGCCTTGTATTTTATAAAACAATAGCAAAAAAAAAAAAAAATTTTTTCCATTTCAGAAATTATATTTGAAAAATATTGCTTTTTTTTTTTTTAAAATAAAAATAATTTTTTTAAATCTTGCTTTTCAAAAGATTTAAATTAAAATCTGAAAGTTTGGAAAACCTTTTAATGATTAGAAGTGGAAAAGAGGAGAAAGCACCTAGTAAATTTATAAAAATGATAACCATTAGATTATAATGATAATAGTAATTTAGTATAAAATTATTTGCCTTTCTATGAGGGTAAAATTGGATACAAGGTCTTTCTAATACACATTTCTGCACTTACGTAGGTTAGATGCTTCTAGAAATTGTCCTGATCCATTTGCTTGTAATGCAGACATCAGGGTGTGTTCTTGACCCTACCCTTTTACATTTGAGAATTAAGGTTCAGATACTTAAAAATTAGTCTTTAAAAAGTAGCATGAGTTATAAATAGTTGCAGCAGCAGTACTAATACCTAAAGATTAACTGGAGACTAAACACAAAGTCAACATACTATATATATTTAGATAATTACATGCATAAAAATTAAGAGACTTGAGAATATTTCTATATTTCAATATCATTTCCATAATTCAATCAAGGAAAAGTTGCATCATTTTGTCATGTATAAGTTAATTTATTTATAGAGGTTAATCAATTCAATTTCATGAAAAATTGCATTTAATTAACATTATAAACAGTCTTTATTTCTGTTTCTTGATTGAATTAATTATGGAAATGATATTAAAATGTTGATAAGTTCTCAAGTCTCCTAATTTGCTATAAATGAAAACAATTCTAAGAAACTGATTTTTAATATATACATATATTTAAACATAACTTTAAAGTTTATTTATTGAGTCCATACAAGTTTAGAATTCCTTTAACACATTTCTAGCACACATATGGGACATTTCTACTATTGCTATATAGTCTTCTGGTGACAGAAAAATGTTATATATGTCACTGTCAAAATTGTTAAATGTAACTGTCTTCTTCTCAAACAGCTTCTTCTCCCACACTTCCCATCTGTGGAACTCCCTTCCCCTTACTTGCTTCCCCGATGACTATAATCTTCAAATATTCAAGTGTAATGTCAATCGACATCTGACTCCCTGAGCTTGTTTCCCATCATTCTCTGTATCCTTTCCTCAAACATGCCTCTTTACTCTTGGTCTCAATCCTCTGTAACCCCTTGCATCTTAGTACAAACACCCACCTACCTGGGGTGAAAAGAATTTATATATATTATAATATATATATATATATATATATATATATATATATATGTATATGAGAAAGATTTGTGTGGATTTAAAAAAAAAAAAATGCTATGTCCATTCAGGCTGTAAGTGATCATAGCTCTCCACAGCTTTCTTTTCTTCATCTATGATTTTCCCCGATTTCTTGAGGAGAAAATAGTGATTTTTCTGTTGAAAGTTTTTCTTCTCTTAGTTTGGTTGACACCCAGTACTATAGAGCTAAGTCTAACCTGTTATTTAACCCATAGGTGAAGGGGTAGAAAAGACAGGGCATCAGTGCAAAAGTGAATACAATATACTAACTCAAAATTTAGACTCCTCTATCATTATCCACACATTTGCACATGTGTGGATAAGCAGTTGAATTATATCGATGTGTTATAATAATTAACCAAAACAAAATTAAAAATTTTTTTTCTTGTTCTCCAATTATAGAATCATGTTGAGACTGATTTGGAAGGATGTTCTGCCTACCCATCATTAGTTTTATAATTATAAATTCAGATATCAGTGCAATACTGACTATGTAGGCAAAATGGATCAAAGATTAGAGGTATGGATCAACCAACAACTATCAGCTTGTATTCACAAGGGAAAGGTGGACAATTTACATATGTGCAATAATGTATCAAGTTCAGTTATAGCTGAATATTTGATTAAAAACCAGCAGTCAACTCGGTCTTACAGCTCAGTTATGCTCTCAGTGCTGAGTAAAGCTAATACTTATTATAACTTGAAGATTTAGGACTCGGTATACATTAAGTCCTACCAGCCATCTCTCTGTAAACATGATGGATGGTAGGCTTAAAGGTAATTAGCCTTTACACTATTTACATTATTTGTACTATTGTCCTCATCTTTATTGCCATATTTATTACACCGTTTCAGTTGTTGTATATTCTGGCCTTCAGGTGGTTGGAATGTTGAACTGAACCCTTTATTTTGCTCACTGGGGTAGGTTGTTCTAGTTCTACATGCCAAGTTTAATGGTTGTCAGTTATCTCCTGTTAATTAACCTCTCCAAGTTCTCCACTGCCTTAACCGGGTATTGAACTCACACTCTTTGGGTCCTGTCACTGGATCTAACTAATACCTTTATCCACTGTGCCATGTGTCCTCAAGGTGGATAAAGGCGTTAGTTAGATCCAGTGAGAGGACCCAAAGTATGAGTCAGGTAATGTCGGGTTAAGGCAGTGGAGAACTTTGGAATAAATGAACAGGAGATAACTACCAGCCAAGTTTAAAATATCAGTACCAAATTTAACTGAGCTTTGCACATTAAATCCTCTCCAAAAAAATTCATCATTCAGATAGTTTGCATAGACAAATGTGCAAATTTCAAGTAAAATTAGTTGCTTATTCACTGTCAACTGAGTAAACCCATGAGAGAATGGTCACACCTGTGCAGTAAGGATCACCGGATTTGATATAGAGTTACATCAAGGTCACCCAATTGGTTCTTGAGAGATCCAAAATTTCTTGATACTATACAGACAGACTTCATACTACAATTATGACAAGAGATTACTGGCCAATGCCTTCAAAGTTCAACACTTGTCCTGAATCTGATGCAAAAAATAAAATTATTTCTATCTTTGCAAAGTGAGACAGAAGAGTTCACCAACAATGTTATATGCAATGCTATGACAAATCTTTGGCATTATGTGTCATTTTTCTCTTTTCGGAGCAGAGAATGGCTTTGTCATTTCCCTTTAAAAAGGTGGAGAAATAGTAATGAGAGTAATGAACAGCACACAGAAGGACTTATTAATTCAGTTGTATATTGGCACACAATCCAATACACATAAATATATATGTATTACACACACACATTAAGCATAAATATATTTTATATATATATATATATATATATATATATTAAATATTTTCTTTATATATATATATAATATTAAATATATTTAATATATATATATATATTAAATATATAAACACATTATCTCTCTCTCACACACATATATATATATATATTACACACACACACGTATATATTACACACACACACACACATATTACACACACACGTATATATATTGCACACAATATATATATAATATACACACACACACACATACATATAACACACACGTATATATTACACACACACGATGTATATTTTATTATATACATACGATATATTATTTATTAACACGTATATTTATATTACACTGGGTATAATACACACACACACGTATATATTACACACACACACACACACGTATATATTACACGTATTAAACGTATATATTACGCGTTTAATACACATTTTTATATATTATGCGCACACACATATATTATGCGCACACACACACAGTTTGCTATAATTACAGGGTAAGAGTGCTCAATATTGGAGAGAGCATTTATAGATATAGACAGTGTAGGCATAAGAATCAACACTGAATGCTGACA